CTCTGGGGCAGCCCAGTGCCAGTGCCACTGGTTCATGCAGACTGAAACTTTGCCAGAGAAGGCCCTTTGTGCTTATTTATGGCCAAGGAGATGAGTGAAAATTTATGGGACTTTTCATCCTAATTAAAAGCAGAAGCCATCTAAGAAGAAACAGATTTTTGGAAAAGGAACTTCTAAAGGAAATGTGTTGTAAGGACGTTCATGGGCTTCAGCATTTGTAAAGCTGAAGTACGTAGTTCATTTGTGTTTGTACTTCTGCTTACGCTTTTCACAGGACGCTTCAAAAACCCTCAAGAGCCCTCGCAAATCTGGAATAATATACGCTCTAATTAGTCACCAGCACTGAGCTCATGGGTTACAGACACAGGGGCTAGCTGAGCTCGGCTGGCTCACAGCAGCCTGGCCCTGCCTAACTCAGCTCTCAGAGCAAACTAACGTGGGCTGTTCATCCAGGAAATGCTGTCTGCCCATGCGAATTCAAACCTGGCGTGGCTCTTGTGAAGTGAGGCCACTTCGACACATACAAAGAGAACAACAGCAGAAGCTAATTGCTTTGGGTTGACACCTACAGTTCTGTTCTCGGCTGTCACAAATTCCAGCTGCCTTACAGAAAGAAGCCCTTTAAAAAGTCTTCGTATTTCTATAATATATTCTCATTTTTCTATCTTTTGTCATTCCCTGCATTGCTCTTACAGACCACACACCACTTCATCGCGGTCTCTTTTTCTTTCCTCTTTCTGAGTATCTGTCTTCTAAGACAGGGCGCTGCTCCACCCAAGGAGAACCTACCTGCCATTCTTCCTCTTGCCCAGAAAAAGATGACAATTATAGTCCCTCTTTCACACTTGGCATCGCAGCAAAACAAGACTGATACTTATCTTAGAATGACTGGTCCCTTATTCGTAAATCTTGTCCAGAAAGTCTTGCTCATTTTGCCAGTCCACAGGCACACCATTGTAGGAAGTGCATACTAAATTCACTTTTTTGATCATTTAACTTTGGCTCCAGCTCAAGGAGTTTTAGATTCATAACAAGAGCCCTGTTTCCAATATTGATTTTTGGCATGGGAAAATGCTAATTTATCAAAGGTCCAAAAGAGCAATGATTTTTCCAGTCCAGCTACAAAATTTTACCTACCTACAAGGAGAGATTTTTCATCAGTGTGACAGACCAGCAAGCGGAGGAAGCCCATTAGTTACAAGTTGAGTTTGGCTCTGGTCACTGAGCACGCCTCCACACCCACGAGCTGCAGCCACAAGAACTCCCAAGCAGGAGCAATACATGCTTCAGTGCAACAACGCTGCTGATCTTAATGCAGACACTGATCTTCCTCAGGATGCCGGTCACAAAGGCAGCTCTGGACACGGGGATCTCTGTGCTCCCACGCAGGCTGTGGGGCAGTGCTGACCCAGCCCTCCTGGGGTCTTTGGGTGGTTCTTCACATCCACGAGCTGCAGTCTGAGCTGAGACGCCGGTTTCCGGCGCTCAACAAGGAAGATGTAAAATCAACAGAATTTGATTTGCTGCCAGGGATGTGAGTAGGCCGCAAAGACTTTGATATTTTGCTGAAGCTCAGAATAAAAATCAGCTGCCGCTGCTGTCAAGTGTATGTTACTGGTTTTGCTTAAAAAAAAATCTTCCAAGAACAAATGCAATCAAACAAAGCTGCCTCATCCTCCTGCACTTCTGCTCTGAGGACCACAGGTTGCTTCACTGGCTGTCCATCTGCCATATGCTTTCAAGCTTACTGTTATTCGCTCCTGCATTTTATTCCTTTCCATTTCAGAAGCGAACAGCTGCACAGATGCTTTATAAATAAACTACGTAATTTTTTGGAAAAGGTTTTTTGTTTATTTTTTTAAGCTACTACAAACTCCCACCTCCATCCTTCACTGCACTCTGCACAAGTTAGTGAAGCTCACCTGCAGCTTGGCTTTGGGTGATGAGCTCAGCTGCAAACAGCAGCGATACTGCAACCATGAGCAACAAAGTGCACGGGCTGATCTTATGCTCACTGTAGCCACTTTCTAAGTATTTCAGATCCTAAACTGATTTAGGTATCAGAAATAAATTTGATAGGTAGTCCAGCCTTAGCAATGCAGCCAATCTGTAACCCTACACGTAATTTCAAACAAATCAGTGCATTTTTGGGTGGACAGGCCTCTCGTACTGTTAGCAGAATGAAAACCTGTTCTGGCTGCTCAAGAGGACAGACAGACCTTCCTGACTCAAATCACATATCTCATCTGTGCGTGCAGGAAGTGCATGTACATACATGTAACCATCAAGTCATAAAGGGAATAAGATATGAACCTCCACAAACAAACTGGTATTCTATTTCTCAGCACTGCGGAAGCACATATGAAACACATGCTGCTGATGAGATAAGGGGCTTGCAGAAACAGTACAGACATCGACAAGTCTCACGTTACTGACACAGAACTACACATCATTCCAAACTTTATGTTGGGAAACAGCTTTGTAAGAAATTTTGCCTGTGACATCTTCAGATAGACTGAGAAACTATGTGCTGCAGCACTGCCAGCACTACTTTCGTGGCTCCAAATGCAGAAATGAAACCTAGGTGCAGCTGAAGGCAACCCGGGCTTTTGTTGTCTTTGGTGAAAGACGAATTTCAGACCTGTGCTAAGCATGGCCCTTGTGTAGGAAGTGCTGCTCCCCTGTTGGATGGCTGAAACTTGGGCTGAGACTTCTCACACAAGGTCACAACTACAGGCCAAGTACTCTTTCTGCAAAAGCATGTCCTTAACATTTCTACCACTGCTTCTGAAAACAAACTGGTCTGCAAGGTTAAGGGAGCAAATGGCAAAGTGAGTAGATTTGAAACAAGGAACACACTTGTTTGTCACTGAAAAAGGAACACACACAAAACAGTCTGTGGTGTTCACACAGCTGCTTGTGGAAGCAGTGCAAGCACTGTGCAGTGATAACACACCTCACCATTTCACCAGCAGCAGTCTCCAGTGACACCAGCAGTACCAGAAGGGCAGCAGGCGTGTGCTCCCCACTTAGCACCACCAGCAACGTGCTTTCCCCACAGCTGGCAAACAACCTGCCTGCTGCAGAGCCAAACCACTGCTTCTGTGTTTTGCACTCAGCTGCTTTCGTGAGAATAAGAAAACTGCTACTGATATTACGGACAACCCCTGGGTTGGGGCCAGTCATCTCAAAGCCACGGTTTGAACATCTCTCTGCCACCTGGGAGGATCCGCTTCCAGAGCGGGTTTGGGCCAGTGAGGTTTGGCAGGGCTGGAAGTGATAGGCTCTGCCTTATGCTAAATCAATTTAGAGCAGCACTGGAGTCTTAAGAGAAATGGCCAGCCTCAGCAGCTGGTACGTGGTGAGGCAGAAGGCAATTTAATAGGAAAAATGACAACCCATAAGGAAAAGCAACCCCAGCTCACACAGCTCACAATCTCAAAACACTGCCTTGGCATGCGGAAAACCTGCTAAGGGAGGTAAGAGCTATGGGTTGCCTAATAAAAGAAACTGATCCCCGCACATGCACAGAGCGGGAGCTAAAAATGTTCTCAAATTCATTCATCTGAGAGACAAAAGTAAATCTTTTAACATTCAGCAGTGCTGGAAAACAGTCCTATGATTTACAGGCTTAGAGATTCTAAAAAGAACTCTTTGGGCCTTTTCCATTAAGACTTTGAAATCTGCGTTACAGCCAGTGGGAAACTGCTTCATTCCCACACCGTGCCCTCGGTCCTGCAATCTGTGAAGGCGATTCATTATTATGTATGTGGTGCCACAGGCGTGCACGGCATTTTTCAGATAAACAGAAGATGCAGCATCTGCCTTTAGAAGCTTAGGTGAGTCCAGCTGCTCGTGTGATGGGAAAGCAGCGCTCAGCCAGTCTGCCAGGATAGATTTCAATCCCTGTCCCGGAGCAAATGTTCCTCATCGCCCAGTCAGCACTGATACTCACCTGGGATGCTGGAAAGCTTTTGATGGAAGGATACTTCAGAGATACGTGTTATTGCTGTCTAAAAATTTGTGACATCATTCACAATACTTTAAGACTTTTCAAGTCATGTTATTTTGCAAAGTGTCTGTGATTCAGTTGTGCTTAGCTTTGCATCACGCATTTCTGATAACACATATCATAGCATGCACCAGAGTTACCCTTATTGTAACAGGTATCTACACACCACACGTTTGTTATGAGAGGCAGACAAAACGTGATTCCAGGAATTTTCATACTGACTTTGCTAAGCCACTCATACCTTCTCCCATTTTGTCATCAGTATACACACTAACATCTATGTGCCTGCCTTTTTGGACAACTGAGCAGCAATGGTACCCAAATAGTTGTACCACCTCTACACGAGCAAAATGCGACTGCACATAGAAATAAGGGACATGTGAACAGAAATGGTCAGTTCAACATCACTGCTCCACTGCACACACATGACAATACCACCAGCCCCGTACCTGGGACGCTCCTGCGAGAAGAACTGAAAACCTTCCTCTGAAAACAAGGGATTTTGTTTTTCTGCCACACTCTCTTGTAACTCAGGGCTTGTAAAAAAAGAGGGTATCGACTTTTTTTTGTCCAGAGTGGTGAAGGACACAATTCTTAAAGCACAATAATTTTTCCTCTGATTCTTGTATTTAATGCAAAAATGACAACCTATATGGGAAGGAGTGGGAGAGAGGAGGGAAGCATCTCCCACCAATGTTGAAAACTCCCCACATGTCTTTCAATCCTCAGGAGCTGACTCTACCTCAAATGCACTATCCAACAACCAAGGAACCCTCTCCAAAGGCATAAAATTAAATTCAAGGATCCCCAGACCCTTCATGCTCCCTCATGTCAGACTGGTCCCTTGCCAGGTGCATGACAGGCCCGTTCTCTACGCCTACTTCTTATACTCTGCATTTCTTTCATGGCAGTGGATATGCAATAGGTGGTGTAGACCTCTGCAATCAACATCAACAGAAGCGAAAGAATTAGCTGTAAAATGACTTACGGAGTAGCCTCTTCCTGAAAGCGATTGAGCAGAACTCTGTGGGAGGAAACAATATGCCACAGTAAGTAATGCAAGAGATTCTGTGTAATGTAAGATCAGATCATTTTGTGATTCCCTCCCCCAGCCCGGTATTACTTAGGGGAAAACTTTACAAGCAGAGCGTCTCAAATTCTCTCCTGACATCCTGCGTGCTGCCACGGGAGCGACAGCAAAAGAGCATTTCCAGGGCAGGGCTCTGGAGCTATTTCAGACAAGGATTATATAAACTATAGCATCTTCTAACTGAGGTAAAGGCTTGGCGTGGGATACATCTTCATAGAAACAGGGACTCAAGGATGCAGTGGAGTATTTGTTTAAGCTGTCCCTCTTCAAGAGACAATGGCCACTTCCATGCAGCACATGGGCATACAGACGTCCCCCGGCTCAGGCAGCACATCTTGCCTCACCAGCTCCAGCTCTGCCACGTAACCACGCAGTCCACTTCCATTCCCCTCATGAATTCATGAGCCTGCAGCCTTCAACGCTGCAGTATTACCATATGACAGCTCTATCTGAAACAATAGCACCGAAGCACTAATTTATCATCTCTCAGAGCTTTAATAAGCATTCTGTCCCTTTTGAATAAGTTAAATTATATTGTTTACTTCTGCTTTTCAGTCCAGCTCCTCCTGCTCCTTTCTCTACCACATCCTTACCTCTTTCACACACTGCCAAATCACTCAGTGCTTTTCCTTTCTATTATACCACCTCCAGCCGCTTGGCTCTCCTTCCCCTCACCACAGCCCAAGGCCACTGAGCTGCTACTCGTCGCTGGCAGTGGCCTCCTTAAAGCAGCTAAATGAATTCCACCTCTATCTGCAGCTGATGCTCTATGCCTTCTTTTTGGAAATTGAAAAGGAGCCTGGAACAGTTCAGCACGTGACAGGGAGGGAGCAGCAGCACATGACCCAGCAAGCACTCTGCAGGCCCATTTCCAAGTGTGATTTATAATCATGGCGCTCTTGCTACGTGATTTTATTAAACAAGATTCAGGGAGTCTTAGCAGCCCCGTTTCTAACAGTGATATTGCAGTGGGTATCAAAGCCTGAACAAGAGCACTGACGCACTGCAGGCGGACCTCAAAGATCACCTCTCTTCCTGCAGCAGCACTGCACGTCACTGTGGTACTCAACAACCACAACAGCACAGCACCCCCCAAAAAGACCGGTGCAAACTGACCGTGGACTACTGCAAACACCTGCAACTCCCCACCGGTACAACAGGACCCTCCTTGCTGCCATTCCCAGAGCCCTGCCTGGCACACAGTGCTCTGGAGCTCTCTGCTCTGTGGGAAAAAGGCAGCTCCAGGGCAGGTCTGAGATGCCAGTAACAGATCCTTTATGGGGGCAAACCTTTGGCCTTTTGTGTATCACACATGGATTTGCCTTCAAGCTGTAAAAAGCTAGAGGTATTTATAAAATCTCTTCCATCTAAACTGCCCAGAAACTGCAACAGATTGATGAAATGAAGGGAAGCAACGCTTCTTTCTTTTTGAGAAACTAAAAGGAACCTATCACTCCTCCTAGATACATGTGAAAAAAACCCAAACGCTCATAGAATTCAGTTTTGTATAGAAGGAAAGTTAGTAACAACATCCTGCAGTTCCAGCTGAACACAGGACCATCGTGGCTGGTTCGATGGCTGCTCTGCCGCTCACCCCGAGCACGGATGGGAGAGGTGGGAGCTGGAAAGCAGGGCGGACGGCGCTTCTTCCTCTGCCCCTCACTCAGCTCGCTTTTAACAGACCAACAGTGTCTAACAAATTGGAAATAATAACCCAAACCAGAAACAGGAGGTTTCATTTAAAGCTTCTCCCTAGGGAGACAGCCCCTCCGAGCAGCCTCGCTGTAACACAGTTCTTTTCAACCTCAGTGACTTGTGGACTCCCCAAATACTTTCCAGGCACGCCAACCGCAGAGCCGCGTTGCTGAGATAACGGCCCGGCACCCCAGGCTGCCCAAGAGCCCCAGGAATCTGCAGGCCAATGATTTAAAACCACCCAGCAGAAAAGAATAAACAATTGCTGAATAAAGTGTTACATCAGAAATAATTAGAACGGAATGGCAATTTGCGCTGGCATTTCTCATATCTAAGGACCGCTTTCTCCTTTGCGAGTTTTAACATTACATTTCCTGGAAATCGAGGGGAAAAAGTTGTTTTTTTTTTCTCCTCCCTCAGAATTTTTATTATGCGTATAAAGTTAGAAGCTGGTGAACACTTTGGATTCAACTTGTAAAATTCTTTCCAACAATTAGAGCTGTTTGCAAGCATTTTTCTGCACATCTAACAAACCACTGTTGCTTTCTTGGTTAGCTGGGAATGCTGGGGGCTCTTTTGGAGGATCCGTACCAAACTGCCACATGGAGAAGCTCTGAAGGCCCCAATGAACTTCAGCTATGAGTGCCAGAGCAGAGAACAGCTTGCACGCAACCGCGGTGGATGTTCCTAAAGTGAATATCTTTTGGGGTTGACATAAACATAGTTCAATCCACGTGCCTCAATATCCACACTAAATAAGAGGGAAAACGATCAATGTGGCTGCAAATGTAAGAAATCTTAGTGGAAGTTTCACTTGGCCTCTACCCAAGCTGGGAGAAACCTGTGGTGGTGAACGCAGGCCTGCCTGGCAGGAGCCGTTCCTGGGCAGCCTACAGCTGCGGCCTCGTACGGCTGCTGCTGTGCCAGCACTGGTGGCCCTCGTGCCTCTCTCCTCTGCACTGCCCGGAACACCTGGAGCTTCCAAGGGAACCTGGTACTAGTTAGGGGCAGAACGAGGCTGGTCTGCACATTTAATGATGTGTAAGTGGAACTACAGTGCCAGGTGGCATTTGTGCAAAAAGACAAATGGCTTGTAACGTTTTGCAGATGATGTGCTCTTTTGCAGCTAAAGATTTTCAGTTCTTTTTAAGCCCAAGGTTAAAAACAAAACCAGACAGCACAGACAAGACATTTCAGTTATGTCACAGAGTGAATTACTTCTACTCTGGGATAGCTCTCCTGTTAATTACACTGGTTGTAAAAAATAAATAGACCTTTCTGGCAGCAAAGGTAAAATCCTACTGTTGAAAAACTCAACTATTCCCACACCAACGTCCTTCAGAGTTGGAAATGCGCTGCAATTTTATTTAAGAGGTCTCCATTCATTATAAATACCACAACTGCAATCTAGAAGAGAAAATCATGACAAAACCTCACTGACAACCTTCAGCAAGTTTTTCCAAGCTAGTCTACTGAATTGATGGCAAGTGTTATTTCCTTGTATACATGGGAAGCCTTCCCCTGCTCTTATGATGCAAAACAAATCAAGACTCATGGTTTGATGGGGAGTCTTAAAACTATCCTCTTGTTGCCTTTACTTCACTGAGCTCTAAATCACTCTGCTTTTCTAAGCAGGGATCAGATTCTAGCACGGTACAGGCAGGGGCAGCCACCGTCCATCGTTTCCCAAAACTCTGCAGATGACAGTTCACTAGTGGGGATCTCCAGGCTCCATTTTAAGGCCAGTTCTCCTTAATGTTCTCCTAAATGATTTGGATATAGGACTAAAAGGTGTTTTGAGCAAGTCTGCTGATGATATGCAATAGGGAGGAGCTGCTAACTCCACCAAGAGGCCTTGTGGAGAGATTTAGACAACTAGAGCTGGGCAGTCACCAACAGCACCAAGTTTTATGCTGTTGGTCTCATGAAGAGTGGCTGAGGGAACCGGGATCGTTTAGTACGATAAAGAGGAGGCTCAAGGGAGAGCTTAATTGCAATCTCCTTCAAAAGGAGGTTGTAGCGAGATGGGTGTCAGCCACCTTCCCTCAGTGGCAGTGACAGTACAGGAGGTAACGGCCTTAAGTCACACCAGAGGAAGGTCTCTTTTCTCTTGTGACAGCGACAGGACCTGAGGGAATGAAGCTGCGATGAGTGGGTAAGGCTAGATACCTGGAAAAGGTTCTTCACCACAGGGTGGCTGGGCACTGGCACAGGCTCACCAGAGCAGTGGGCGCAGCCCTGAGCTGCCCAAGCTCCATAAGAGTCGGGAGAACGCCCTCAGTCCTGTGGTTTGATTCTTGGGTGCTTCTGTGCAGGGCCAGGAGTTGCACTCCTTCCTTACAGACCCCTTCCAACTGGAGATATTCTGCGACTCTACAACATATTGCCATTCCAGGCCTTCCAAAGAGCTCCTTCAGGGTTCCACGCTCTGCAGCATCCCCGTGCTCAGCTTTTCCTGGTCTGAAGCATGCAGAACTCTTCTGTCCCTCTACACCCTGCCTAGAGCTGAGACCGGGCATCCCAGCTTCTCACCGTTCATAAAGAGGATAAATGTGGACCTGTGGTGCCACTGCGGTCCAATTCTCACTCCAGTAGATCTTTTGATCACGCTTCTGGCAAGGTACTTCAGCCTTAGGCGCACGTAATGGACCTGCAGCTTTGTGCCCTGCGCTGCTTTAATCCCCTTGCCCCAGGAGGGGAAGCACGGTACAGAAAGTAGGAGGGAAGGGGGAGATGGTGACTGATGGCACACAAAGAAAAGCAGATCACAGCAAACTGTTTGAATTAGAAATCACAGAAATTATTTTATATTCATCTACCAGAGAGAGAATCTCATATCTAGTCTATACAATATGCTAAGCACTTATCAAAGAACATTCAGAGAGAGGAAAATCTCTCCATTTCCTAAAAGACTGTTGTCTGTTAATACATTTAAAGAAAAACAAACAAACATACAAAGATAGGATGATGGAAAATCTGAACAGATAGCCTGGGGGATGGGAGATGAGAGGAAAAAGCTCTGAACAACTTAGTAGCAGGGCTTGCTTTTTTTTTTTTTTTTTCTTCTTTTTTTGTTCAGCTGAAGTCAATCCCTTGAAAAGGAGAGTTTTGACTCTTAAGTGGCCAGCACCTCTTGCAACATATTTCCTAATCAGTGAGTATTTACGGTCGATATTTTATATTTCCAATTTCCCCCTAAGGGCTCGTGAGAAAGCAGCACACCTGCCAACCTTTTCAGCTGGGCCAATAATTGCCAATTTGCTCTTTGCCTTAGTATATCACTCAATTTAGCCCTGGCTGTGCCCTGCATACATCCTCATTCATCTCTGTGCCCCCATGACAATTAGAGTGTTAGCTTCAGCTAACTAGGGCAACTATTCTACTAGGGTTGGAAGACAATTATTAGTCTATTTTCCCATCTTGTGGCAACAAAATTGAGAATCCATGACAATTATATTCAGCAATTCTGCACTCTGCCGCCTGCTCCCCCTCCTCGCCCCCACCTTCCGAATATTTCAAATTATCACAGCTCTACTACCACATTCAAATTTTCCATGTTCACAGGGAGTGAGGCTTCTATTTAAATGATAATGAGGGACGATCCATTCAATTTAGCGAGGGAGAAAATCCATTAAAAAGCAGGCAGTTCTTAAGCTGATGGGTCAAGAAAAAGATAAAACCCTTTTTTTTTTAAAAGCCATTACACAAGGCTCTGTGTGGATTTTTGGACTGCTCAGGACATCAGAGAAGATCAGGACAATTATGGAACACGGGGAAGGCCAAAACAAGATGCCCAAGCCTTCCCCTTTTACTTGGGTCAACACAACAAAACAGCAGTATGGCTTATCTGGATCGTAATTCTCTGGCAACTTCCAATTACCGCACTATGAAAGACAGCAGAGGAAAATCCCATTTTGGAGAAGGGCTGTTGACTCTGTGCTGGTTGTAGAGGACTCAAGAATATACGTGTAACAGGGACGACAGCTTAGTAATAGGTTTTAAGGGAATTTTACATCAACACTGGGAACATAGACAAGCGGCAAATTCCCAACCCCTGCCCCCCGTACCGCTATCTCAGTTGTACAAAACCTGGGTTAAAACTGGTCTGCTATCCTGCTCAGAAGTTTCATCATCCCAAGGACGAGTTCAGCCCCAACAAATCACACCTCTGCAGCCAAAGATGATTTCACCAGATGATAATAAGCATTTTTTCCCAGTGACCCATAATAAATGGCAGTCAGCGTAATGTCTGGAAAGAAGGGACTGCGGAGCACAATTGCTGTTTTGCTCTGAAGCTGCAGCGCTGTCTCCTCGTGGAAGTTGCATTGTGTAACAGCAGAACACTCTGTGTCTGACGGCGGTGTGTGCGTGCCCGTGTGTGCAAGGCACAATCAATCAGTGGCTTTGCTTTTCTTTAGAGTGCAATTACTTCACGACAGACCAGGCCACCTCTTGACTTCACGGTCCATTAGAGACTAATGACATGCATTAATGTAAATAAAGAACAACTTACTGGCATCCCATTGAACAAGTCACCTCGAGAAACAAATCACACGGAGGAGCTAAAGCTGTTCCTAATAGTGCCTTCCCAATGGAGCCCTCCGTGCGGCTCAGGGAGGGCCGCAGTGCTCCGAAGGCGGCAGTGCCAAGCACGCTCACTGGCACTTCCAGACACGCATCTCCCACCACATCTGCTGCGTGCTGCCTGCAGCAGCCAAACCCGCTGCCTCCTGCCTCATTTACCACATTGTTCACCCAGGTTAATGGGGACAGGGATGGAAGGGAAAGGCAGCACGAAAAACAGTCCTGAAGGCCAAATGCACCAAGCAGGAGAGCCACTTGGCAAAGAGCAATAAAGAGCCCAGGTGCCTCCTGGCACAGCACATCCATCTGCAAGGAGCGCAGCCACTCCAATGCAACCACATCCTAAGAGCTCCACGCACAGCCCCTAACCACGAGAGTGCTGCCCCTGCCTTCCCTGCACAGCCCTCCTGCCCAGCCCTTTCCCCACCCTCGGTGCCGTGCAGGTCTTGCACCACTTCAGCTGCCCACCACTCACAGAAGCCACGTGCCAGGTTACACAGCTTCAGAGCAGCGCGAGGACCTTCACAGCACAGATCTGTGCAAACTGAATCTCTGCAGCGCGGCATCCTCTGCTCCCCCCTCCCTTGCCCCAACAACCTGCTGCCTTGCTCCTTGGCAAGCACATGGGGAACACCACCCAACTGCGCCCATGGGACTTTCGGATACTTTCTGACAGTCACTAAATAGACTGCAGAACATTTACTGGTACACAAGGAAGCACTGTACGTAATTAAAGCTAAACTGCACTCATCACATAATGAACGAAGAGCATTCTGCGATTCATGAACCTTACTTTTCAAACCGTTTAATTACTAATTTGGAAAATTCTCATTTGCAATGGGTCGTCGGGTCACGAGAGCGACTCCAGCAAAGCTCAGAAGCGTGCCCCGGCCTCCAGGCGCTGCCCAGACATCCCCATTGAGGGAGAAGAAAAAGAGCGCCTATTTCCCACTGCATTTCACCGGCTGATTAACTGCCTTTGAAGGTTTGCAGGGAATTAGGCAGTCACACTCCATTCCTACAGGCGCTGCCCGTAACTCTGAGGGCAAAGGGAAAAGAGGAGAAAGAACCGCAAGTGCGTAGGCTTAACGAGGAGCGGCTCGAGGAGCGCTTAACGCTTTGACCTGCGCTAATGGCGGGGTCTGCCTGCCTTCTCCCTCTCCCACGCCCCCACGTCGCCGTGCTGCCAGGCGCTGCGCTGTCAAGAGCGGCCACGGGGAGGGCAAGGAGGGCATCGCACCGACGTGCACGCGCGCACGCAATGGGGATCGCTGCTGTCTGCCCCGCTGGCGGTGCCCCTCAGGAGTGACGACCCCCAGGACCCCCGCCCGCCCCCAGGACAAGGCGCCGGCGCTGCTGGGCGCAGCTCGCAGGACGGGGCCGCGTCGCTCCTCCTCCCGCTGCGGGGCTGTTCGCAGCCCCCATTCGCACTCCAAACATGTAGAGAGAATTTTCCCCCGTCACATTTCCCTGTCAGAGCTGTCAAGCTGAATCCCGCTTTAATCTGCCAAAAGCACTTTTCTGCTGACATTTTTAATAAATACTTTCAGCTTTTAAACACATTTGTGGGAGCCATTTTTCCCCCTTTTTCTCCCTTCTCCTCCTATAGAATAGGCTCTGAAAGCCTTAATAGCAAATACGTTACACTTATCAAAGGCTTCCCCCCCTTCCTTTTGCATCCTGAAGCGGAGGTAGTGTTTTCAATTTTAAAGCTAAATTAACTGTCCAATTGAATTTAGCTGGTGTGAGCCGTTTTCTGTGACAGGTTTTAGTTATGAAGCATATTTTACATTAATAGAACTCAACATGAAAACCACTCGCTCTGGGATTTCTGTGGCTTGCCATTGAAATGGCAAATTTAATATTTCAGACATGCTCGTGCCAGCGTTTGATTATTGTTCTTCATTTAAATCTCTCCTAACGGGAAAGGTCCTAATTAGTAAAAAATCATGTTTTAATGAAGGCGAAATGCTAATTGCTAACACAAAAAGCCTTCATATAAAATTATCCCAGCACTGCCATTGATTTCTCGGTGACTCAAAAGCCCATTTGTGTGTTTACACACGAAGGCACCGTTTGCTTTTGTTTTATCATAACATTTCACTCAACATACCATCAAATTTCCTGAGAGAATGACAGCTCTCCCCCCAAAGCCTCCCATATCTTGGAGGGAGGAGGCGTAAAATTAGACGAACTGACTTCGCACCCAAACTACGCAATTATGCGCAGGAGCTAAAACCAAAAATACTGTAAAAAGCTTTTTAACACAACTTCGTGGAGAAAACACAACAAAACATCAAGCCGCTTTTCCCCGAGGAATAACAATTCCATTTTGTTTTCCCATCTCTGATCTTTCGCTTATCATATTATTTGCACCGTGATTATAGTGTTTGCGAGGCAGCTCAACCACTTATGCCATAACACTCAATCATGACATAAAAAAAAAAGTTATTACACAGTGACCTCTGGATGCCAACATTTGTTCAGCAAGATTTATGAAAAGCCGTGTCAGCAGCGGGAATTGCTGCAGCCAAGCGGTGCTTTCTCCTGAGCGGTACTTACATCACTGAGGCGGTCCCTGGAGCTGCTCCGCTGAGAGCTTGTGGCCTCCCTGATGCTGTCCTCCTCGCTATTTCTGCCACTTCTGCTTGTGGGGACCTTCATCTAGAGGGAGAAGAAGGAGGGGGAAAAAGGAGATTTTCAAGCACTGCCACCTGTTCCCGAGGTCACCGACAGCGCTTCACAGCGTCGCTGCTACGCCCGAGGCACCATGGAGGGGCTGCTTCCAGCTCACAGCGATTCTCCAAAGTGGGGCTTCAGCGCACGTGCCCACAGATAACTGCTACCGCCAGGGCAGGTCCTCTGACCACCCATCTGTCCCTCCTGAAGTTTGTTTCTGTTTGCACATCGTCTGCTCAGCGCGAGGCGACAGCGTGGGACATCACCCAACTTCCCACTGCCATCTGCAAAGCGCGCTGCCGGGCAGGAGGAGGATAGGATAGATGTGTCATTCACAGCTTCCTTCCTGGGCTCATTTACTAACAAATTATTCTGTTAATTCCCTTGTGAAATATTGGGTGGAAAGAAGTGTTTAATTTGTTAATAGGTTCTATTCATATCAGTTTGGTTCAATTTAAATTACACTATTTAAAATGTCGGCTGTACAAATTGGTACTTCTAATGGCAATAAAACCCCCTTGTTTCTCTCTGTCCTATTTCACTGCAGCCTGCAGCCCTAGTAGAAGGTTTTCGCTGGTGAGCCCTACCACACCCCAACCTCTACCAGGAGGGATTTTACATCTGATACAACACGGGGAGGCAAACCCTGCTGGGATCTCCTAGAAGATCTTCCAGCAGTGGCAACTCTGCATTTGCATCCAGTAATAAGGCAGGAATCGACCACTTGAAACTCATCACGCTAAACTCACCCTGCTGTATTTCCTTAATAAAAAGGCCAACAACATCAAGCACTGAAACCTAACCATGTTACATCAGTGCTGTGGCTACCATCAATCACAATTTTCCTCCCGCATAAAGTACATTTGAAAAGATCTTTTTTTCAAAATACCTAAAATTATCGGCATTCACTTATTATATTCTCTTTTAGGTCTTCATTAAGCAATTCTGATTTCACTTATCGCATTATCTTGACTAGGATTCATGCCAAGCCAATCGGGTAAAGGGCAGAACCCAATTAATCGCTGCCTTTCAAGCTGCTGCACTGAGCTCTCCTCAGCCCCTGGACGTACGCTCACTCAGCACAGCTCTCCTGGTTCCCACTCATCCCCCACTTCTTCTGCAGCCCTTGGATTTGAAGACTCTCAGCTTCTAATTTCAACGCACCCAGATACAACAAGCACGTTTGCTTCTCCCAAAATGGAAACTGTTGAACTATTATAGGCAAGAACTGCAATCTCCCTAAATGCAATAGGGAAATACCTGCTGAATTCCCTGGCTTTCCGGTCCGTAACCGGACTGCTTTCATTTAGCAACACATCAAAGCCTGTAACCATTACTGTGCTTTTGACATAAACAACTGGACAGCTGCAACTTAAAGGAGAAATAAATCACTTCCTAACCTTCCTAAACCTTCCTGAGTGCCAGCGTTTGCTGCGGGGTTATTCAAAGGGACTAAGCTGTTCAAAGTTAGCACAGACTTGCACAACCTTTCACCAGACTTCAATCCTTTGCTGTTTTTCTCAAGTTACAGTATGCTCCAATCACCACCTGCTTCTTTCCTCCAAGTTTCATTAAAGGAGAACTACACCTACACACAAGGTAACAAATTGAGACAATTTGACCCGACAAGGTCTTGCGCGGGCAAGCAAATTAGAAGCATCACTGCTGCCATTAACCTTTCCAAGTAAATATCAATTATTAAACTTGCAGCACTACCTCTGTCCCCAGTTTGCTGCTGTGAAGTAAGAGGGTCATCAGCCTTTTTGACAGATGTTGTTCATTTACACCTGCTGCCTGCCAGCGGGGGAGCCTGCACACCCGCAGCCCCAGCGCTGAGCCAAGCTGCCTTAATTCATCAGTAATTACCCTAATGAGCCACATGCAGGACCCAGCTAGGAGGACAAGTTGTTCTGCTAAGTGGATGCAATGGCTTCATGGACACTCTCAGCAGCCCGGGGTATCACAGCAAGCTGGTCAGAAGCTTCTCTTCCAGTTGCTGGCTGCACGACTTCCAATCATTTCCTCTGGCTGTTTTTGCCTGAGGTCGAGAAATTCCTCCTGACTGTACCCCCTAACCAAGCTTTACAATAAAACCTGCTGCTGCCCTGCCTCCAAAAAAGCTTCTCCTTCTCCTTATCCACACTGCAGCAAGCTGACCAGGCCCAGGAAGCAGAGGCAAGGAGGTGGCAGTGCAGCCGTGCTGCAGGACCCCATAGGGCAAGGCACAGACCTGCAGCACACAGCCCAGACAGCAGTGCCACAGCTGCACAGGAGAAACATGCTGCACCTTGCTGTGCTGGGAACTCACACAGACGTTACAGCAACATCAGTAGCAATCGTTACATATTTGAATTATAGGAGCCAAATAATCTAGAGGTACACACGAGAAGGAGACAAGGCAACGCAGAGCAAAGAAAAGCTGGACGGTCCCAGCTGTGTGCCATCGCTCAGGTGTGGTCTGCAGCAGAAAGCACTGACCTGTTGTTGGGAACGCAGTGCTGCATGGCAGGCTTGGCAGGAGCGAGGGGAAGGTCCGGAAGGACCTGCACGGCCGCGGTCCATTTGCATGCTGCAGGTGCTTGCAGACAATCCCCAGCCATATTTGGAGCCAAGAATTATGAACCCTGCGCTGTTGGACATCATGTAGCATGATTAAATACCATAACTCATTCCAGTAATAACTCCGGCTCTCATTAAAGTCCAGCTCTGCTTCCTGAACTGCTGCTGCCTTTTCGTTCCTGCCACCAAACCTGAGCCCTCCCTACTTCTCCTAATGGGGCATGGGCAGAGGGAGATATGAATGGGCAGAACGGGGTCTCAAATCCCTCAAAGGGCTTTTCATTATTACCGAGCTGGCTCTCAGCACCAGAGTTTTAATCATAACAGATCAGTCCATTCCCTATTTACTTAAGCTTTGTCCACGTCAAAGCACATTTTTATTTGGCGCACCTATTTTCAAATCACAAGACCGCTGTCCCCACTTGTTATTAATAAACACGCTTTGATTTATCACAAGCTCTGCTGAAGTGCTGCGGGGAGCCTGGGGCAAAAGGAGACAAATTCTTTTCTTAAGTTGTTCTGAAAGGTGCTGGGCTCCCCGACCCTCACCCCCATTAACCCAGCACAGCTAGTTCGCTCCTGCTGGGAGCTCCCCGGCTTGCGCGGCGGCGAGCCTGGACTGATCTTGTGCCATCTCAATATATTTGTTCATTATCTTGCGCACACACAGAAGCATTTGGAAATGTACTCGGGGCACAGGCCAAATTGAATCATCTGCCTTCATTTTCCACACGATCTGAAGCTACAGCTGCTACAACAGGCTGTGGGATTTTTATTTTCCTTCCTGAGCGGTTTTTCTTCTCTCTTAAAGTCACAGCGGTCGGATTTGAAACCTCTCCCACAGTGCTTGGGTGCGCGCCTGCTTTTTACAAAATGGGTCACGTGGACACACGGCCGGGAGGAGAAATTCCCAGCAACCCATTTCTGTGCTGTTCTGAAGGCAGTGCAGGAGGAAACGCCCTGGAGGAGAGACATAATGAAAGCACCGGGCTCAGGAATGCTTCTTCTGGTGGCTCCCCTGGGTCTGTTTGTCCATCCGCTCCCCTGCCTTGGCCAAGCAGCCACCGCCGCCTCTGTGCTGCACCCAGGGAGCATTCCCACGGGCACAAGCGTGCCATGCAGGTCAGAAGGGGACAAGGAGGACCACACAGCTCCGTGCCCATTCATGGCCTTCTAGGAACGCATTAACTGCTCGAGAAAAAAGTTTAATTCCTTTGAGAGCTCTGGAAGATCAACTTTTGTGGTGCTGAGAAAAAGGAAAGACCCAACACAATCATCAGATTCAGGATTTCACTGACTTCGAGGCCAAAATTTTGGCATAAGCTGCCTGGAGATAAGTAGGTGCAGCAGAGAGACATCCAAGTTGCAGAGCTTACGTCCGAGCTTTCAGCTCACCGGGGATAGGGATGGATCCACCTTATGCTCATCCATCTAAACTAACGCTGCATCTATCAGTGCGTAACGGCCTTATCGCCACTCTTTCCTACAGGGTCAGCCGGAGGGAGAAAACTTTCCTGCAGATAGCATCTCAGAATAACAAAGATGATTCCCTAAGGCTGCAAGAATCATTATGAGCAACTGTTCCAAAAACTTATCAAAGCTAATTGTAAGGCCTGTTCACTTCCCAACAAACAAGAAAATTTTGCTTAAACTATGTTTCAGGAAGACTTTTTTTTTTTTGCTAACATATGCTTGGCATTTTGTTATCAACTCCCAGATAAGCTTGTGTTTCTATTGGTAGACTATCAGCAGCAGCAGCTTTCTGCAGCAAGACACAGTAAACTGCCTTAATAAATACAAATGGACAATTTAATTAAGATATATTGGAGACTTGGAAAAAGTACTATTTGTGGATGAAACAGTCTGTTAAGGGATCATGCTCAAGACCAGCTCCGTGTATTTTAAGCAGGCAACAATAAGTGGCAGAGAAACACACTGCACAGCGCTCTGCCCCAGTGATTAAAGAGCACACTGAAATTATAAACATCAGTTTTCCAGAAGGGAAAAAAAAATAGCCACGGCGTTGCCTCTGGCTTTAATGCCTGAAACAAAACAAACCATTTGGCTTTAAAAATGTACTTCTTTAAACCTGAAAAGACCCATGTATCAAAACAAGGTGGATTCAGCTAAACACATTACTTCTGACTTGTTTCCTTGAAAATCCGGCCTTAATGCATTCTAACAAAATTTATCTATCCCAAGCATACCTCATAATGAGATCAACTGGGAAAAATATCAGGCTTGTTTGTATATTTTATACTTGCTCTAACTTGGCAGTTTGGAGATTATGTATTCCCCAGGTCCCTCCTTAAATCGTTTCACACGCTGCAATTTGATTTTCTTTGCTTGCCCTTTTCCACAATTTTTTTGATACATTTTATTGAGTTCTGGCTCAGAGGGAAACGTTCCCTTTGAATTAAGGGTGC